GGGATACCGTGAAATCCATTCCTTTCTGTCTATTCCAAGACTTTTCCTTTAAAACTCGGGTGAAAAAAGAATTTCTGCGGCGCTCCTTACAGACAGACCACTCTCCGCTCGCTCTTTGCCTCAGCAGGTGCATAGGAGAGCGGGAGTCTAGACACGTGATTTCCGGAGGGTACCAAAGCCGACTTTTCCAAGATACTTTCACGCCCCCTGCCGTATTAGGCTATTATGCCATGTTCACGTGCTGTCGGAAGCTCCTAGTTCCCAGTGGGAAATGTCACTTGAATGACCCAAGTCAGAATTACAGGAGGGACTATCGGAGAAAATGTTGTTAGCCGAGTTGCGACGTTTCACCACTGACATTTTACCTTTTCAACCAAAAAATGAGAGCAAATCAGTTTTTGACAATTACAACCTAATTAATATGGATAATGTAGCTAGTCTGACCATATTGTGAATGTTTAACAAGCTAGCTAACTTTATTATTAGCAGCAATGTTAGCAAGCTTATCAAGCTAGCTAAAATCTTATTGGTTGAATAATAATTTGACTTCATAAAAGAAAATGAATAAAATCATGTTGGACTTACACTTCCCAGTTTCCTACAATATTTGACAAGAGCACGTGAAGCCAGTACTACAACACAATGAACACAGATTTCCAATAGTTATATATATTGTCATTTTACTGTTCAACAATTTGAAATACTGTAAACAAGACAAGCTATAAAATAGTTTGGAAAAGCTTTAAAATGTAGGCCTATGATGACATTGCAAACATGTTTTTGAGCAGCATCAGAAAGACTGAATTCAACAGGTGTCATCCAAATAAGTACAGTTGAAGTCGGAAGTTTACATACACTTAGGTTGGAGTCATTAAAAGTCGTTTTCCAACCACTCCACACATTTCTTGTTAAACTATAGTTTTGGCAAGTCAGTTAGGACATCTACTTTGTGCATGACACAAGTAATTTTTCCAACAATTGTTTACAGACAGATTATTTCACTTATAATTCACTGTATCACAATTCCAGTGGGTCAGAAGTTTACATACACTAAATTGACTGTGCCTTTAAACAGCTTGGAAAATTCCAGAAAATGATGTAATGGCTTTAGAAGCTTCTGATAGGCTAATTGACATAATTTGAGTCAATTGGAGGTGTACCTGTGGATGTATTTCAAGGCCTACCTTCAAACTCAGTGCCTCTTTGCTTGACATCATGGGAAAATGAAAAGAAATCAGCCAAGACCTCAGAAAAAAAATCGTAGACCTCCACAAGTCTGGTTCATCCTTGGGAGCAATTTCCAAACGCCTGAAGGTACCACATTCATCTGTACAAACAATAGTACGCAAGTATAAACACCATGGGACCACGCAGCCGTCATACCGCTCAGGAGGGAGACGTGTTCTGTCTCCTAGAGATGAACGTACTTTGGTGCGAAAAGTGCAAATCAATATCAGAACAACAGCAAAGGACCTTGTGAAGATGCTGGAGGAAACAGGTACAAAAGTATCTATATCCACAGTAAAACAAGTCCTATATCGACATAATCTGAAAGGCCACTCAGCAAGGAAGAAGCCACTGCTCCAAAACCGCCATAAAAAAGCCAGACTACGGTTTGCAACTGCACATGGGGACAAAGATCTTACTTTTTGGAGAAATGTCCTCTGGTCTGATGAAACAAAGATAGAACTATTTGGCCATAATGACCATCGTTATGTTTGGAGGAAAAAGGGGCTACCTTGCAAGCCGAAGAACACCATCCCAACCGTGAAGCACGGGGGTGGCAGCATCATGCTGTGGGGGTGCTTTGCTGCAGGAGGTACTGGTGCACTTCATAAAACAGATGGCATCATGAGGAAGGAAAATTATGTGGATATATTGATGTTACGCACTCCTCTCGGAAGAGGGAACGCAACACCCTGCTACAACTTAACTCTCCGTGCTGTGAAAGAGGTATGGGACTGTAGGTGTGAGTAAGGATGACAAAAGGCAGAGAATACCGTTAACAGGGAATTTATTCCTTCGCACGGTAAGTTTGGGGAAAAGGGGCTGGACGGAACCAAAGCAAAGAAAGTAAATATCAAAGCCCCCTCTCCTACCTTACCTGCCTACCCACTACTTACTTAACTAGCACCTCCTGGTGCACTAACCAAAATACAAGGGATGGTCCGCCCAGGTCTTTCCTAGTGTGCATAGACAGTATACTTCTACGGGTAATGTATGCCCGCGGGCCTCTTGCCTAAGCACTCCCTAGGTGCCTTCCCCTTCCCCCCTTGGGAACAAATGAAACAAAATTGCACAAACTGGTTCACAACGAAACCTGAGAAAAAAAACTAACTCAGGACATTAAAGAAACTCTCTGAGCCACAAATTAACACAAAACATTACAATTGGTTCTCACAGCAACAACTACATACCAAAATCTTAGCATACAACCAACATGCTGTAACTCTCAGCCATTCTGGTTTCCCCCCCCGAGCAACTGGGGCTTATATAGCTTCAGGAGGAGTTGGTAATTGGAGACAGCTGTGTCCTGAAGAGGGCGCGGGGTCAGCTCTCCAATCATCAATGTTCATCCAATCAATCAGCTGCTTGTTGGGGAATTTCAGGAACCCATTTCCTGAAATACCTACAGTGGGGGAAAAAAGTATTTAGTCAGCCACCAATTGTGCAAGTTCTCCCACTTAAAAAGATGAGAGAGGCCTGTAATTTTCATCATAGGTACATGTCAACTATGACAGACAAATTGAGATATTTTTTTCCAGAAAATCACATTGTAGGATTTTTAATGAATTTATTTGCAAATTATGATGGAAAATAAGTATTTGGTCACCTACAAACAAGCAAGATTTCTGGCTCTCACAGACCTGTAACTTCTTCTTTAAGAGGCTCCTCTGTCCTCCACTCGTTACCTGTATTAATGGCACCTGTTTGAACTTGTTATCAGTATAAAAGACACCTGTCCACAACCTCAAACAGTCACACTCCAAACTCCACTATGGCCAAGACCAAAGAGCTGTCAAAGGACACCAGAAACAAAATTGTAGACCTGCACCAGGCTGGGAAGACTGAATCTGCAATAGGTAAGCAGCTTGGTTTGAAGAAATCAACTGTGGGAGCAATTATTAGGAAATGGAAGACATACAAGACCACTGATAATCTCCCTCGATCTGGGGCTCCACGCAAGATCTCACCCCGTGGGGTCAAAATGATCACAAGAACGGTGAGCAAAAATCCCAGAACCACACGGGGGGACCTAGTGAATGACCTGCAGAGAGCTGGGACCAAAGTAACAAAGCCTACCATCAGTAACACACTACGCCGCCAGGGACTCAAATCCTGCAGTGCCAGACGTGTCCCCCTGCTTAAGCCAGTACATGTCCAGGCCCGTCTGAAGTTTGCTAGAGTGCATTTGGATGATCCAGAAGAGGATTGGGAGAATGTCATATGGTCAGATGAAACCAAAATATAACTTTTTGGTAAAAACTCAACTCGTCGTGTTTGGAGGACAAAGAATGCTGAGTTGCATCCAAAGAACACCATACCTACTGTGAAGCATGGGGGTGGAAACATCATGCTTTGGGGCTGTTTTTCTGCAAAGGGACCAGGACGACTGATCCGTGTAAAGGAAAGAATGAATGGGGCCATGTATCGTGAGATTTTGAGTGAAAACCTCCTTCCATCAGCAAGGGCATTGAAGATGAAACGTGGCTGGGTCTTTCAGCATGACAATGATCCCAAACACACCGCCCGGGCAACGAAGGAGTGGCTTCGTAAGAAGCATTTCAAGGTCCTGGAGTGGCCTAGCCAGTCTCCAGATCTCAACCCCATAGAAAATCTTTGGAGGGAGTTGAAAGTCTGTGTTGCCCAGCGACAGCCCCAAAACATCACTGCTCTAGAGGAGATCTGCATGGAGGAATGGGCCAAAATACCAGCAACAGTGTGTGAAAACCTTGTGAAGACTTACAGAAAACATTTGACCTGTGTCATTGCCAACAAAGGGTATATAACAAAGTATTGAGAAACTTTTGTTATTGACCAAATAATTATTTTCCACCATAATTTGCAAATAAATTCATTAAAAATCCTACAATGTGATTTTCTGGATTTTTTTTCTCTCATTTTGTCTGTCATAGTTGACGTGTACCTATGATGAAAATTACATGCCTCTCTCATCTTTTTAAGTGGGAGAACTTGCACAATTGTTGGCTGACTAAATACTTTTTCCCCCCACTGTACATGAAAATACACAAACCACAACATAGAAACTGGGGAACGTAACAATTGAAGCAACATCTCAAGACATCAGTCAGGAAGTTAAAGCTTGGTCGCAAATGGGTCTTCCAAATGGACAATGACCCCAAGCATACTTCCAAAGTTGTGGCAAAATGGCTTAAGGACAACAAAGTCAAGGTATTGGAATGGCCATCACAAAGCCCTGACCTCAATCTTATAGAAAATGTGTGGGCAGAACTGAAGTGTGTGTGAGCAAGGAGGCCTACAAACCTGACTCAGTTACACCAGCTCTGTCAGGAGGAATGGGCCAAAATTCACTAAACTTATTGTGGGAAGCTTGTGGAAGGCTACCCGAAACATTTGACCCAAGTTAAACAATTTAAAGGCAACGCTACCAAATATTAATTGAGTGTATGTAAACTTCTGACCCACTGGGAATGTGATGAAAGAAATAAAAGCTGAAATAAATAATTATTTATATTATTCTGACATTTCACATTCTTAAAATAAAGTGGTGATCTAACTGACCTAAGACAGGGAATTTTTACTAGGATTAAATGTCAGGAATTGTGAAAAACTGAGTTTAAATGTATTTGGCTAAGATGTATGTAAACTGTGTGTGTACTGTAGGCCTATGGGTTGTTCAAATATAAAGATGTTTGATATTTACCAGATATGGCCTCTGATGGTGTGAAGGCAATAAGTATTCAAATTACACAATAGTAAAGTCAATCAAAACAGCATGTGGTAGGATTAGAAAATGTGTTTAATGTCTCATAATTTAAGTGGTAAGCACAATTCATAATACTAGTACACTGTGAATAAAAAAAAAAACAATCTCATTGGAACATAACTGATGTACAGTACAGTAGGAGTTAACATACAATTCTCCCATCAAAAATAAATACAGTACATATATCTTCATAGCTATAAAATACACATCAAATTCCAATATTCCTTATCCATTACAACTAATTATTTTACTCACGATTACAAATTATCTAAAGTGCAAAGAGTTAATGTTCTTATCATAAAAAATACAAATTCCAGAGTGACTATTTCACTACAAAAATACTTTTAAAAAATGTGGTCAGACATCTTGGTGGATTTTGTTTGCCCCTCAATCCTCTTCCCTCCAACATTGTACATTTTAGTCATTTAGCAGACACTTATCCAGAGCGACTTACAGGAGCAATTAGGGTTAAGTGCCTTGCTCAAGGGCACATCGACATTTTTCACCTAGTCGGCTCGGGGATTCAAACCTGCAACCTTTTGGTTACTGGCCCAACACTCTTAACCGCTAGGCTACCTGCCCCCCATGAACTATTGCTTGCTATAATGGTTACCCTCAACAGCTCAGGGAACCTGGGCACCTGGAACAGGCTAATACTAATGTCAACACTTGCTACAGTGGTCCCTAACAGTAAGCCAGGCCTGGAGTGCCACCCCAGTATCCGTGCCCCCCTCTCTGGCCAGGCAGAGCCCAGCCGTTGTGTCTGAAGGGCTGGATGGGTCTGCCTTGGGGTCTGAAGCCATTGTGAGGAGGACGTGGAGGGCCGTTATATCCTTTACCGGGCCCCATCTTCTTCTGCTTGGGCACTGTAGGATGCCACAAAGGAGCAGCTGGGTAGATCACCTTTGAACAATAAAACGTGTCAATTTCAATTATATTTCCCACATTGCCAGAGCTGACCAAGGAGGCTTTCAGACAAGACTGTATTGAAACACTACATTACTGGTTATACCTGGTATGTGTGGTGATTTTGGGGGCAGGTAGGGGGAGGACGGGTTTCCCTGAGGCCACTATCCTCATCTGAGGATGAACCGGAGTGGTAGTCAGACGTCACCCTCTCCACAGCGCTGGTCACCTTCTTTGTCACATCCTCATCACCAAAGAAACTGGCCACCGTGAAAGCATGGTTCTTCTCTCCATACCTGCACGAGAGTGAAATGAAGAAGCCAACAACACTTGTGATGCTCTGTCATCAACTGAGTTACTTGACTGGTAAACAATGGAACAACCGAGGCTGCATACCGATTGTCTACCCATCTCCCAAAGTGTGCACTTGCACACTCCCCTGTCATGGATTTAACACCTTCCAGCCAATACTTACACCAATCCAATGCTTTTAAATAAGACAGACTGACCTGCAGCACACCTCCCCTGGGTCCACCCACAGAGTGAGTTCTCTGGGCAGGCCAAGGTCCTTGTACTGAACCCCACTCTCCTGGCAGGCCCGCAGCAACTCTGGATCCTCCCTCTGCAACCTGTTCAGCCGAATACACCTGCGAAGTAGAGTATACAATACTTTGAAAACTCCAATCATACAAATCACTGCATATCCAAAACACATCTTATTCATGATGCCCTAGACTGGAGGTTCATAAAACTACTGGTATGGACATCAAGATAGTGAGAGCAAGGCAACAGACAGGGTCTGATCTGTAGTTAAGTTACCTGAAGGCCTGTCCTTTGCTGGGGTTTTCAGGGTACCAATGTCCCCTGAACTTCTCGTGCAGGGTAATAGTCAACCGCTCCACAAACAAGTCCACTTTCTGGGTCTCCAACTTCTCCACCTTTTTGATCAGTCTTTTCAGGAAAAACACCACTGCTGCAATCTCCTTTTTCATCATGTTTCACTGATATGCTGTAATGATGGTCCAAATTCCGGAAATATAAGAGCGTGTCTTTCGTAAGATTAGTAGCTAACTACCACAAACAGTAAACTTTAGCCTATACACATAAATTAGCCTAGCTATAATAGGAAGCAACATGTTTCCCCCATGAGTCGTTTCATCCATCAATGAATCTCAATGTCCTTCATGTTAAATCCTTGAAGTATGTAGCAAGCAAAGACTACCTAGCAACACAAAACAAACTGACAAGTACTCGTTGCATGTAAACATTCAGCTAATTTAGCGGGTTAACCATTGTTAAATCCAAAGGGCATTACAGTCTGGCGGGTAATCTTCCAGAAAGGCGCGCTGTGACGCATACATCCCGTTTAGCCATGTGACTGCCCGTGAGAGTCATAGTTGACTAGCTCACAACAAAACCCAGACAAAAACTTGATAAATACTGTAGTTGTACAAACATTATGTATATATTAATTGCAGACGTTAGATGGTGACAACTTTTCAAGTGAAGCTAGCTAAGAGAAAAGTTCACAAACAGCATTATCGACAACTTGCTTTGTGATAGCAAACTACTATACTGTAGCTAGCTAACGTTATATTATAACTAGCTAGAAAAAATGCTAAGTAAGCAAACTTTGTAAACTACAAGCAAAAGTTCTCTGATTATCCAAAATTACAATTAAAAGGCAATCATATACCGTAATTGCTGCTCATCAACATGTGGACAACTGTTGCCAGTTCGGCTCATGAATGTCTGATCCTCACTAGTATTCTGCCAGCAGCACAAACGACGACGTCACTTCCGTATGGTAATGAGGAAACCTTCAAAATAAAAGGCAATAAGTAATTTATGAAAACAAATAAAAAATGTTTTTAAAAACATTTTTTAAGACCAATAATGAAGAAATACAATGTTGACACTGATATGTTGAGAATATTGGGCTGTAGAGAAACCTTTTCTACCCGTCTCAGCTAAAGTGGGGTGGAAAATACTCAGTAGGGCCTTCAGAAAGTATTCACAACCCTTGACATTTTCCACATTTTGTTGTGTTACAGCCTGAATTTAAAATGGAATACATTGAGATTTTTTTTGTCACTGGCCTACACACAATAACCCATAATGTCAAAGTGGAATTATGTTTTTACAAATTTTTACACATTTATTAAAATTAAAAGCTGAAATGTCTTGAGTCAATAAGTATTCAACCCCTTTGTTATGGCAAGCCTAAATAAGTTCAGAAGTAGAAATAACCTTAACAAGTCACATAATAAGTGGAATGGACTCTGTGTGCAATAATAGTGTTTAACATGATTTTGAATGACTACCTCATCTCTGTAACCCACACATACAATTACAGTGCATTCGGAAAGTATTCAGACCCCTTCACTTTTTCCACATTTTGTTACGTTACAGCCTTATTCTAAAATTGATTTTTTTTTTTATCCTCATCAATCTACACACAATACCCCATAATGACAAAGCGAAAACAAGTTTCTAGAAATGTTAGCAAATGTTTTAAAAATAAAAAACAGAAAGACCTTATTTACATAAGTATTCAGACCCTTTGCTATGAGACTCGAAATTGAGCTCAGGTGCATCCTGTTTCCATTGATCATCCTTGAGATGTTTCTACAACTTGATTGGAGTCCACCTGTGGTAAATTAAATTGATTGGATATGATTTGGAAAGGCACACACCTGTTTAAATAAGGTCCCACAGTTGACAGTGCATGTCAGAGCAAAAACCAAGCCATGAGGTCGAAGGAATTGTCCGTAGAGCTCCGAGACAGGATTGTTTTGAGGCACAGATCTGGGGAAGGGTACCAAAAAATGTCTGCTGCATTAAAGGTTCCCAAGAACACAGTGGCCTCCGTCATTCTTAAATGGAAGAAGTTTGGAACCACCAAGATTCTTCCTAGAGGTGGCCGCCCGGCCAAACTGAGCAATCGGGGGAGAAGGGCCTTGGTCAGGGAGGTGACCAAGAACCTGATGGTCACTCTGACAGCACTCCAGAGTTCCTCTGTGGAGATGGTAGAACCTTCCAGAAAGACATCCATCTCTGCAGCACTCCACCAATCAGGCCTTTATGGTAGTGTCCAGACGGAAGCCACTCCTCAGTAAAAGGCACATGACAGCCCGCTTGGAGTTTGCCAAAAGGCACCTAAAGGACTCTCAGACCATGAGAAACAAGATTCTCTGGTCTGATGAAACCAAGATTTAACTCTTTGGCCTGAATGCCAAGCGTCACGTCTGGAGGAAACCAGGCACCGCTCATCACCTGACCAATACCATCCCTACGGTGAAAGATGGTGGTGGCAGCATCATGCTGTGGGGATGTTTTTCAGCGGCAGGGACTGGGAGACTAGTCAGGATCGAGGGAAAGATGAACGGAGCAAAATACCGAGAGATCCTTGATGAAAACCTGCTCTGGAGCACTCAGGACCTCAGACTGGGGCGAATGTTCACCTTCCAACAGGACAACGACCCTAAGCACACAGCCAAGACAACACAAGAATGTCTTCAAGACAAGTCTCTGAATGTCCTTGAGTGGCCCAGCCAGAGCCCGGACTTAAACCCAATCGAACATCTCTGGAGAGACCTGAAAATAGCTGTGCAGCAACGGTCCCCATCCAACCTGACAGAGCTTGAGAGGATCTGCAGAGAAGAATGGGAGAAACTCCCCAAATAAAAAATTGTAGACCTCCACAAGTCTGGTTCATCCTTGGGAGCAATTTCCAAATGCCTGAAGGTACCACGTTCATCTGTACAAACAATAGTACGTAAGTATAAACACCATGGGACCACGCAGCCGTCATACCGCTCAGGAAGGAGTCGCGTTCTGTCTCCTAGAGATGAACGTACTTTGGTGCGAAAAGTGCAAATCAATCCCAGAACAACAGCAAAGGACCTTGTGAAGATGCTGGAGGAAACAAGTACAAAAGTATCTATATCCACAGTAAAACGAGTCCTAAATCGACATAACCTGAAAGGCCGCTCAGCAAGGAAGAAGCCACTGCTCCAGAACCGCCATAAAAAAGCCAGACTACGGTTTGCAACTGCACATGGGGACAAAGATCGTACTTTTTGGAGAAATGTCCTCTGGTCTGATGAAATAAAAATAGAACTGTTTGGCCATAATGACCATTGTTATGTTTGGAGGAAAAGGGGGCATGCTTGCAAGTTGAAGTACACCATCCCAACCGTGAAGCACGGGGGTGGCAGCATCATGCTGTGGGCGTGCTTTGCTGCAGGAGGGTCTGCTGCACTTCACAAAATAGATGGCATCATGAGGAAGGAAAATTATGTGGATATATTGAAGCAACAGCTCAAGACATCAGTCAGGAAGTTAAAGCTTGGTCGCAAATGGGTCTTCCAAATGGACAATGACCCCAAGCATACTTCCAAAGTTGTGGCAAAATGGCTTAAGGACAACAAAGTCAAGGTATTGGAGTGGCCATCACAAAGCCCTGACCTCAATCCTATAGAAAATGTGTGGGCAGAACTGAAAAAGCGTGTGCGAGCAAGGAGGCCTACAAACCTGACTCAGTTACACCAGCTCTGTGAGGAGGAATGGGCCAAAATTCACCCAACTTATTGTGGGAAGCTTGTGGAAGGCTACCCGAAACGTTTGACCCAAGTTAAACAATTTAAAGGCAATGCTACCAAATACTAATTGAGTGTATGTAAACTTCTGACCCACTGGGAATGTGATGAAAGAAATAAAAGCTGAAATAAATCATTCTCTCTACTATTATTCTGACATTTCACATTCTTAAAATAAAGTGGTGATCCTAACTGACCTAAGACAGGGAATTTTTACTAGGATTAAATGTCAGGAATTGTGAAAAACTGAGTTTAAATGTATTTGGCTAAGGTGTATGTAAACTTCCGACTTCAACTGTAAGTATAATGCACAGCTTTACTGTCAGTGTTAGCAGGTCGGGTAACACATTAGAGTGGCAGAATACGTATCATGCAAATCATTTGTTGTTGTGACAGCCAAAGTATGTTTATAATGACACGTGACGCTGCTGAAAATGTTTATTGAAACGACAAAAAAGTGTCAGTAGTTTGCTTAGGATGACGCCAAAGTTAGGCTAATTACATGGGAGTAACCTATGTCTGTACCCTACTCCGGGGCATGGTCACGTTAAGCCACGCCTCGCCGTGTGTATCTATTGGAAACGACAGGCTCTGGTCTATCTTGGGTTAGTTATAAAACTCGTTGCTGATATCAAGAACTGGCAGCAAAAGGTTTGATTAAACAACAGAGATTGAAACAAATAAATCAGATGACATATTTAAGGAGAGCAAATCGATATACAATCCCGAAATCAGCTGTAACTGTCAGTAATAAAACAAACCCTGAATACAGTAAATGAATGGTGAATTCACTTCCGGTAGACTCCTCCTCCTCATCACTCTTCGTAAATTCACTCTGGAGTGCAAGAGTGTGCTCAGGGCCATCGTGGTGGGAAAGTGTTTTTCTGTCTGTAATTGGTGGGTGCCGGCGAAGGGAAATGGTGGCGAGTAGTGTGGACGAAATGGAAGAAATGGAGAGAAGGTTGGAGAAGCAACAGCTGTGCTGGAGTGCGATCAATATGGCTGACCGTTCTGATCAGGGGGCAACTTTGGTTTTAGAAGTGGGGGGGACATAACCTGGGCATCTAAAGCTAATTTTCTGCATTTCTACTAGGTCTGTCCCCGACACAAAAAAATCTTGGTCAACCAAGTACTCCAATCGATTGGTCGAATTTTAAAACGTGTATTTTTCCATGTATTTCTATGTGTTTAATAAAATAAATTATTGTACCAAACTTGTCAGATGCTTTAAGCAGGCGGTTTGATAAAAATAATGAAGACACACAAATGACTCAAGCGGGAGCCAGAGATCAAGATAGCCTAACCAGAAGATAAAAACCTGTTCCCTACCCTCCTTCTCCCGTTGCTGCAGGCCTTCACAGAATTACGCTCCTGAAGTTGCCGGTAATAGGCTACACCAGTACTCAGCAACCTTCTCCATTTGGAGCGACAATTTATCTTACCATTTCTACCAATCTGCGTGCTAGTTATGATTTTCATATGCACATTTTTGTGGAACAGTTTCATTTAATTTATAAGTCTTTGTATTTCAAAATCATTGTCTGTGGTTAATCTACATTCTATCTAAATCTAAATTAAAATTATAAAAATCTAAAAGTAACTTTTATTTCCATTGCCAACTTTGTAAAAATAGCTTACATAAAGCTAACACATTAAAAACATTGCAGCCTGCAGGTAGAAAATATCCTGATAAAAATAAATATCCTATGAATCACATTGGCTACGCATGGCCTATCTGCAACAAACTTGAAACATTGTATCAAATATCAACTGGGTCGCCCTCAGAGTTTCCCGCGCCAGTGAACTCGGAACAGACACAGCTGTAGGCTATTTGTGCAAGGAATAAGAAGTAATCAGGTATTTTATGACGTTTCCACTGGATCAGAGCTTTACATTTTTCAATTTCATGCCGAGTAGTTATCGAAAGAGAGAGCTGGAAATATTGTTCGAATGCTATTGTCATTCTCAATTGATTCTAAAACAAGACTTCGTTTACTTGCTGTTTGGTGTGAAGAAAAATGTAAAGAGTTATTCGAAGAACTTATAGGGGTTACCCCACAGTTTCAATTTGAAGAACCCCTAAAGGATCCTCCAGGAACCTTTTATTTTTAGAGTGTATCCGACTAACTAATGTCGTAGAGAAAGAGATA